TGCTGCTGAATGGCTTTATTGCTATTGTTAAGAGGCTCTGGCTGGCGGGAATCACGTGCCCACAGCAGGAAGCACTGCCCCCTCCTGCCCCATTCTCACAACTGCAGCGATGCTAGAGCCCATTGTGGAACCATCTCATTGGGGTCAATCCGTCTCACTGGGGTCCTCCTCTTCCTCACTGACCTCTACTTTACCAAGCACAAGGTCCCTTCTCAGGGATTGGTCTCTCACCATAACCACATCCAAAAGGCGCTAAGTCGAGCAAGTCTTACCATCCTTGCTTCTAAAGAGCATTCTAGCCTAGGTGCCCCTATTTTCTGGGTGGACCCCTGGGGTTGGTTCTCTGGTAAACCAGACAGCTAGCTCACCCTGCTGTTCCTCCCTTCCTCGGGGGCCTTGACCATGCTCGAGACAAGGCTCTCTGCTAGTCTATGTCTCTGATACCCTGACTCACCTGCTCGTTGTTGTAAGACATTTTCAAGTGATGACAGGCTAGAACTTCCCGTGGGATTTCAAGGCCTGCAGATCACCATGTCTTTTCTTCCATGGAGCAACTGCGTGGGTTTGAACTGCTGACCCTTTGAATGTCAGCCAAGCACTGAACCAGGGTCACCATGGTTCTCCTCATTCATATCAGAATTCCCCTCCCCAGTTTTCCATTACTCCTGTCCGGCCCAAACATTTCTGTTTGGCCATTCACAACCCATTTTCTAGATTCTCCAGTTCCGCAAGCTTCCTACAGCAAACATACTCCTTTTCTGGAAGTGGGTCTTACGGTGTGGGGCCATTCCCCACCCCACCTCACTCTACACAAATGTTGCCATCAGAGTCATCTTTCAAAAAAATTAATCTCATTGGGCTTTAAAGCCATTCTGTCAGTCCCCATAATGTTCATGGTAAAGTTCTCTTTACCACGGAGTCCCTGAGCTTCCCTGGCTATAGTGGCTGCCCAAAAGGGCCCTGGTAATGCTTGCTGGTGCAGCAGGGGCTGCGAACCGAAAGGTCGG